CATATCTCTCTTTCATTGATAAAGGGGGTGGACATCTTTTAAAACTTTTATGCAGCATAAGATGGATTTATTTGGGGCTTTGGTCCTCTTTGGGGACAGTGCTCCTGGGTGTTGAAGCTTTATAGCTGAGTCCTCCCAGAACTGAGCTGGTTTAGTGTTTGTGTTGCTCTGCAGGTAGACGGCAACCCCAACTCTGTGCCTTGGCTGGGGGGGGGGAGGGGACCAGAGCTTCTGGACTAGCAGGATAGGATGGTAGGGAACCCTAGAAGGCAGGAAGGTGGGCATCAGTGGCTTGATCATCACACTGGGGACAATCCCAAGGTAGATAAAGTTCACAGTAATGAGCTCCCTTAGGCTACTCTGCAGAGCAGCAGTGAAAAGCAAGCTGCATCCACAGGGGGATGCGAAGCTACACATTAGAGAAAGGTAGAAAGACCACCCATCTTTGTTTGGGTGGTTTGTCCAGCTGATAATGAGAAAAACTTGTCGTGGTTTTGTTGAATATGGATCGGGGGTGCCATTTTGAAGAGCACACCACTCTGTCTCCACCAGCAAGACTTGGCCAACATTGCATATGTGAGGTCATGCCAGCAAGGATGGGGAGGCACGCACCTCAAAATGGCATCCACCATGCAGCATGACCTCACATGCAGTCACACCAGCCAGGGTGGGGTCGCCCCACTAGGGGCAGACCTATGCTGTTCCCAGCAGTACCAGATAGCCCTCCTTCCCCTTCTGAATAATGGACAGAGTGGCCATCTTAGACAAGGAAGAGGCATTCAGGTTTACACTCAGCACTCTTCATAGCTTCAAAGAAATAAATGCACTGTTCTGTCTACAGAGGTTGAATATACAGGGCTACATCTACACTGGCGGCTTCTTGCTCACGAACAGGTGTTCTTGTTCAAAAACTTGCCGGGTGTCTACACTGCACGCACGTTCTTGCGCAAGTAAATTTACAGTACAACATTGGAAAACAGGGCTTCTTCCGAAAGAGTTATTTCTCTCCCCACGAGGAATAAGAGCTCTTGCACAAGAGGGCAGTGTAGACAGGCAACATGAATTTCTTGCGCAAGAAACCCCTGTGGCTAAAATGGCCATCAGAGCTTTCTTGCACAAGAGAGCATCCACAATGCCATAGACACTCTTGTGCAAAAGCACATGCCAGTGTAGAAGTAGCCTAGGTGTCAATAGTAAATCATGGAAACTTTGGGCCAAATTCAGAAGCGATACATAAGGTGATTTAATTTAGACCTCTTGAACCCAGACTTTTGCACCCTGCTTTGCTCACATATAAGGGAATGTAATTTGGTATACCTCACATATTTAGAAGACAGAAAGTGTAAATTAAAGTAGGATGCATACTAAATAAATGTGAGGTATACATACAAGTATAAAACACTTTTATGCATCCTCCAGATGGTATGCTTCAGAAATCCATATTTAATCATTTTTACTCTGGGAGAAGTACACTCATACTGTAACACAGGAGATGAAGTATGGGAGAGAGAGGGCATCATAGGAAGAAAAGGAAAGAGAAAAAACAAAGGAGAGAATTTTCTAGTTGGACCAAGATTCCCACATTTAGAATCCTTTGCTTGTGCGCTCTTGATCATTAACCCGCCAACTAGAAATTATGTGTCTTTTCTTCACACCATCGAGAACTCAATTAACTGCATGACTCATTCGCATACATGAAGGTTATAAGTCCAGTTGTTTTTTAGTGGGTTGGGAGGTCAACGTAGCAGCACCGTTTTCCAGTCGCTCACATACTTTATTTCCAGGCAATGTGTTTGTTTCCTAATATATATAAAAGGCTGAACAAACTCATCACAGCCTCACTCAAAGCAACTTTTTTGTATTTTCATAAAACAGTCCAAATATACACCTTCATCCTGGTATCGTTCAACCATGGCATGGAAAGGCATAGAACTAAGACTAGGGAACTACAGCCAAACAAGATGTAATTTGGCATAAACAGCTATCCTGGAACTAATGTCAACAAGATAGCTCAAAAACACTGGAAACTCCTGCCAGCCCTTCAAAAATTTCAAGGCACCCTAGAGGGAAAATAGCTAGAAATAAACTTCTTCAAATGATAACATATGAGTAAAATAACAGTTTAAACACCAAAGGAAATCTTGGCTAAAAACTAGGGTGTTACTACAATACAATATGATAATGTTTAAAATATTACTTTCATCTTTAGTAGCAGTCTACCTATAAAAGAAAATAAAGCTCACAGTTTTCATCTTATGTCATATTGAAAATTGCATAGCAACATCTCAATTTTAAACTGTGAAATTATCTTTGAATACAAATCTTACCACCTGGCATTGATTCCAAACTCCTTCTCAAAGTGAGAAATAATAGAACACAATACAATTTAAGAAAGTTCCTGTGTTGCATTCCACAGAACCCAGAGGCAACTGCACCAAGGTATGGTCATTTAGGGTATGTCTAGACTACATGCTCCGTTGATGGAGCCATGTAGATGAGTTTACTAGACATAGGAAAATGAAGCGGCAATTTAAAGAATCGCCACTTCATTTACATCAAAATGGCCACCGAGCTGTGTCGATCAGCTGTTTGGCGGCACAGCGGGGCAGTCTGGATGCGCCGCGGTCGACAAGGTAAGCCTGTGTCAACCACTCCGGTATGCCTCGTGAAATGAGGTTTACCGGAGCAGTCGACAAAGGCTTCGCTTGTTGACCGCGGCGCGTCCAGACTGCCCCACTCTGCTGCCAAACAGCTGATTGGCACAGCTCAGCAGCCATTTTGATGTAAATGAAGTGGCGATTTAAATCGCCGCTTCATTTTCCTATGTCTAGTAAACTCATCTACATGGCTCCGTCGATGGAGCCATGTAGTGTAGACATACCTTTAGTGTCTATGGAGTCTGTCCTGATACATTAACTTTTTATCAACTTTCAGTTGTCTTAACAAGTAAAGTTTCTCTGTCCTAGGAAGCCCAACAACTATGCTAGGGAATACAGCATAGCTAACTAGTGCCAGTACTCTCCTTCTGGTATGTATGCAACAGCCATGATCTGGGAAGAAAATAAAATCTTCACGTTGACAAGAATGTTCCCAGAAATCTCTGGAACTCATTCTTTGTCTAATTCAACAGAAGCACTTTAACGATCTCCAAGTCTGCATGTACACAAATCCATCAATCGTCAGTGAAAGAATATGCCACTTTGTTTCCTCCTTTTTAGTAATAGTATTTTTTAATTCCTAGGCTTCTGAGACAGGTTTATTTAAATTTAGACACTCCTTTGATTTTCCAGTTTATAATAATGATTAGGAACTGACCCTGTTCTCACTCAAGTCAATGAGAGTTTTCAGAATTAGAGCAGAATGGGACCGCTAAATTGTATTGTCTCAACTTTCAGAGTTTGAAGATATTAGTCATGTTTGATCAGGACTGACTTGCAAGCTGCATGGCAAAACTCTGTCCAAAACTGAAATCAAACCAGATGGCACTGAATTGCATCCTGATACAGATTTGGGAAAAAAAGTGTTATATTCATGACATGCAAACAGATGTTAGATAAAAACAAATATCCTCTTGCTGGAAGATTGCAAAGTAACATCATGATTTCTCAGAATTCAGAAAAAACACAATCACCCAAAACAGACACACAAAACAGTTTGTTCCCTAAAATAGAGAGGCATAACTCACTCCATCTTTCTATAGACTGGCTCTTTCAGGAACATTTTTCTCTACAGAGCTCCTTACACTGCAAACAGGATGCACCAAAATTTGCCCCCCAACCCCATATAACCAAAGCAATAGATTGCAATTCTAACAGACCTCAATCCACCATGTGAAAATGTAGACTATCTGCAGTGTTTGTGACACTGTCTGGGCCGGGTTATGGGAAGGCAGAGTCCACAGTCATGGGATGGGAATCAAGATTCAGCCAATTCTGGATACTGGGAGATCAGAAGCAGGAGACAAATTAGTGACCAGATCCATGAGTCAGGTGCCAGAAACCAAGCAGGAGCAGAGTACATGCATCACTTTGTGTTCCTGTGCTGGGTTTATATAGATGCTATGAACCAATTAGGATCCACAGCAGTCTGCCAATCAGAATCTAAGACCGGAGTTCTCTCTTGGAGTCCATCTTCTTCCCCGGCAAATTTGAGCAGGTCACTGAGTGATGGGTTGGCGCTTACTAGCTCCTAAGAGTCCTGTGGACCAAGGTTCATGATCTTCCGTTCTTGACATACACAAAGGCTATGTCTACACTCATGGCTTCTTGCCCGAGTAATATGCAAACGAGGCTAAGCGTGGAATATTGCCGAGCCTCATTTGCATACCTAATGAGCCACCATTTTTTTCAGGCTCTTGCGCAAGAAGGAGCATCTACACTGCCCCTTCTTGCACAAGAAAAACCCTCTTGCGCAATGCCGTTCTTCTTGAAAAGTAATAGGTGTAGCAGTATTGCGCAAGAGCCTCTTCTGAAAAAAATGGTGGCTCATTAGGTATGCAAATGAGGCTCGGTGATATTCTACACTTAGTCTCATTCAATTAACTTGAAATAAGCCATGCAAATATTGTAGCTCAAATAGTGTACCTTATTTCAAACTAAGGGTGCAGTGTAGACACACCCAAAACTCCTTGTCAAAAGGTCCCCTGTTCTTTTAAAAACAACTTATCAGAGTTGACCAGTTCACTACATAAAATACATTGCTTTCACGGAATTTATGCATAAAGGGTAATGTAAGGTATTTAGTGAAAGACTGCCATTTATCAACATTCATAATTATGGCAGGATGTTTGTATGGGTAATATTTAAGAAATAGTGACATTTATGCTCTTATGGTTTTAAAGTTAAAAGGAGTCATCAGGTTACTCTGCAACAGTCTATTCATGCTGGCAGGAGTTGCTACCTCTCCCTGGTTAGCTGGTGATGTAACGCAAGCCTTAATTTTCTTCCATTGCACTATCACAGAACAATCAACAGAAAATCATCAAAGATAACAGCAAACACTTTGAGATTAAAATTGACCATTATAATAGACAAGATATAAAGACAAGAGACAGTTTCGGTGTAACAGAGTGAGGAGAGCCACTCTGAATCCATTCACTGAGGATGCATCTTCTTACGTAAGGATGTTCATGAAAGATTGGGCCCTGCTTTCTGTGAAGCAAGCCAGCTCTGCAATTGACTGAACTTCCTGGTGAAAACCTGTGTATTAGATAGGAAAGGTAACTGTGAATAAGTGTAGGGCTTTGTTAATGTTTTACGGATTTATTTTGTATTGTACCATTTGTTTCCATCACACTGTCTTGTTTCTAGTGGAAATTAATTCTGTCTTATAATGAAACAAAAAGAAGTTTCATTTAAGTGTTTACGGTAAACTGCGATATACTGCTTCAGTGTCAGGGGTTGCATATCAAAAGGAAACAGTTCCAGGAGACTTGGGATAAGGATGCATCTCTTGTTAACCTGCAAGGCAAAGGCTAGGATAGCCCCAAGGAGTGGCTTGAGTGGCTGAGAAGCTGGTGCGGTTAGGGAGCTAACAGTGAGTTACCATAAGCAAGACTCATTCATGCTCGATGCAGGTGGTAACCAGGTGACTCACATTCCTGGGTATCCCCAGATCTGTCATAGGGAACAGCCTCTAACTACCTCCTTACTCCTTAAGGGAACATCTACAATACGGCGTTATTTTGAAATAACTAATGTTATTTCGAAATAGCAAGGTGAGCGTCCATACAGCAAGCCCATTATTTCAAAATAATTTTGAAATAAGTCTTGTAATTTCAAAAATAATAAACCCTTATTCTATGAGGAATAATAACTATTTCAAAATAGCTATTTCAACATAGGGTGAGTGTGGACAGTGCAGCTTATTTTGAAATAATTGGCCTCCAGAGCTTCTCACGGCTGCCACACCCATCAAAACTCTTATAGTTTCCCTTCCACTGCAGCTTTTACATTGGAGGTAATGTTAATGACGTGCAACTGTAAAACACTCCATAACTGCTAATATTATGATTTTTAAAGAAAACCTAACTCTTTTCCATGTTCGTGTATTCACTAGGGGTATGTCTAGACTACAGACTTTTGTCGACAGAAGTTTTGTCAACAGATACTGTCGACAAAGCTTCTGTCGACAAAGACCATCTAGACTATATCCAGTTCTGTCAGCAAAGCAAGCCGCTTTGTCGACATGACAGTGTAGACGCAAAGGACAGTGTAGATCAATAATGCCTTCTATTGACAACTGTGTTGACAAAAAGCGTTATTCCTCGTAGAATGATGTTTACAGCCGATGACAAAACTGCTGAGTTCTGTCGACATTATGCGTATTGATAGAGTAAAAACAGCTTAGATTTTAAAAATTGGTTGCCTTACACTTTGAGAGAGAGGTTTTGTTTTTTAAAAGCTGACAATGCCTTTATACAATGTCTTCAATTCTCATTGCATTTATGTTTACACAGTCCCAGTGGCAGAAGCTTTAATTTCAGGTCACTGCTCCAAGGGCAGCAGAAGAAAGTAGATTGATCAGCTGAGTGCTAAGGACCTTCCAAGTTTAATTTAACTAACTTTTTAAAAGAGAGAATGAGCACTGTATCTGCACAGGACTACCCAAGGGGATATGTTGTGCAGTGAAAATACTTGGTCTTCATGTGTTCCTAGAGACTTTAGATCTGAGACATATGAAAGAGGTAACTTTCACTCTGAGCTTGAAACTGTAGCCATCAGAGGAGAGTCATAATGATAGAATAAAAAATTCCTTAAAATAGTAAATAAAATAACTTCATTTTAAATAAAATCAAAGGCAACAGGACCCTCCATGTGCCCTAGGCAGCGTGTCCAGGAGGCAGGGACACAGGCTGGACACTTTTCTCAGGTAGCCCAACCCCATGCCCAGACTTACTCCTGAGCTGCTAATGGTGGCATTGATGATGCCTCCAGAGCTGGGTAATCAGCCAGCAGCTGCTGCTTTCTCTGCTTTGCCTTCAGAGCTGGACAGCCAGGGTGTGTCTAGACTACATGTAGATGAGTGTATTCAGCAAAAGGAAATGAAGAGGCGATTTAAATAATCGCCGTTTCATTTACATAAAAATGGCCACCACACTGTGCCGATCAGCTGATTGTCGGCACAGTGCGGTAGTCTAGATGGGGATCAGCCAACCCTAGGGCCCTTTGTCGTCAGATCCTTTATGCCTCGTGAAACCTTTGGATCAGGTTCTTGTTGCATAAATCTTGTTAATTCTCTTTTTATTTGTGCATGTGGCTTTTAGATTGAGCAGTATTTTTATTTTCCATACTGGTACTTTAAAGTAGTAAAGGAAATGTCAGGGCAGTTGGAGATCTTTCACAAGTTCTTTCAGTCTTTGCTATAAAATACCTACATATTGACTTCTCATCATTTATCCTTCCATGTCATACCATAGAGTCTGCTGGGATTAACAGATCATAATGCAAGGGGGTAAAAAAACATCACAGCTCAGTGTGTTCAGAACCTCAAATCCAAAACAACCACTAGAAGACTGAGAAATGAAGATTTCTAGTTTAGAATATAGAGAATACAGAGTTTAATTTGTTCACAGAAGTCTCAGTAGAAACACAATATTTGGTGTACATACTGTGGGGGAGTGAATTCTTCAATAAGTAGCACTTAAGCAGTCAAAACTAGAAGCTAATATCAAATTGTTACTGTTATACAATCCCTGCAACAGAGGAACATAAAAGGATGAATTTGCAGTGACCAGAATGCTGGATAACTTTTTTGACATATATAGCTAGTGGTTCATGTTTAATTCCAAGGTGCTGCAAATACTGTGGCTCTTTTGGCCTCCTATAGAGTTCAACACTTGACTTTGGACTGAATTGATACTACACACTGAACTCAGCACAGTGGTGCTGAAGAGCTACAGAAGTGGGCTAACACAGGCTCTATGAGGCTGCCATTTGATTAAGTGGCAGATTTTTATGTAGCAAGTTTGACTGAAATATGTATTCCTGAATATGTATTGTTATTGCTCTTTTGGACAAGGTAAATGTGATCCTTCCGGGTTTACAATATAGTTGAAAAGTAATGTCATGCTTGGAAAAGGTGCTGGAATGGCCTTCTAATCAGAGGAGAGCTACACGCATGTGTACAGCAGGAGAGCAAACAGCCCAGTCTATGGTATTTAACTATGATCCTGAAAGTCTAGTCTCCATTTAGCCCTGGTATTACTGCCGCAACTACAGACAAGGGTGCCAATAAACACTGGACTAAGATCGGAGGATGTTAAGGATTAGTCGACTAGTTGATTCCCACCCTGCCTTGCTGCCTCTATCAGCTAGAGACAGCAAAAGGCAGGGGAAGAAGTGGTACTTCAAAGAGGCAGCACCGCATAGCTGAGCTGGGGATCAGCTGTGTGGTGCTGCCCCTTTGAAATCCCTGTATTTGGAAGGGGCAGCTGCTGTACAGCTGATCCCCGGCTCAGCTGTGCAGTGCTGCCCCTTTAAAACACTGCCTCGGCATTTCAAAGGGGCAGCACCCTACAGCTGAGCCTGGGATCTGCTGTGTGGCGCTGCCCTTTTGAAACGCAGAAGCAGCGTTCAAAGGAGCAGCATCATGGAGCCCTGGGTCAGCTGGGGACTACCCAGCTGACCCTGGGTTCTGTGTGGCATTTCTCCAGAACCCGGGTTCTGTGTGGCATTTCCCCAGAAGCTGGGTTCTGCTGAAATGCCGCGCGAAGCCTGGGAGCTCCATGCGGCATTTCCGCGGAACCCGGGATCAGCTGGGGACTCCCCAGTTGACCCTAGGCTCCATGTGGCATGCAGCGCAGCATGGAACCCGGGGTTAGTGGGGAACTTGGAGTCCCCCGCTGACCCTGGGCTCCATGAGGGCGCTGTGGCTTTGAAATGCACAAGAGCCCCCACTGTGGACTCTTGTACATTTCAAAGCAGGCACACTGCATGCAGCCCGGGG